AATACTGCGCAGACCAAATAAAATCCAGGCCAGCAGCTTGTTATGCCTGCTTTCACAGCTAATTTTAGGGCTCCATATGCAGGCACACAGCATGCTAGAGCTGAGAAACTCAGCCCGAAGAATTCAGGAGAAGTATCTCTCTCATTGGGAAGGAATGTGCCAATAATATAAGCCCACAGGATTGTTTTGCCAAGGGCCTTACTCAGCAAACACATTGAACTTCTGGGGATTATTTTGCAATATCTAGAATATCCTCCAAGTTTCCTTAATGACTCTAGGTTTTTCTGCCCACTCCATGACTGACGCCACTGTCTTCCAGCTTGACCATACATTATACATTCCACACTGATGTATTTTTTTCTTCATAAGGCAGAAAATAACATTTCGTGGCTTTATATATAGCATTCATTTTTACTTAACAGCTACCTTCATTAGATATTCATTGAAAAGAGGTTCATTGTAAGTAACAGCTAGGTTGGGGAAGAGGGGCTAAGTGTCTAGAAATTTTTAGACCAAACTTCTGATACACATCCTATATAATAAAAGGCTAATATGCAAATAGACTGAATGGCAGAACAACTGGAACAACCGAACAATCGAACAACCAGTCACTATGACATGCACTGACCATCAGGGGGCGTGTGTGGAACATGGCAGGCGTTGGCAGCGGCGGGATGGTGGAGCGGGTGAGCAGGGGTGCCAGACCAAGGAAGGGCACTGGTCACTGTCATCGGGGCGAACCTCTGGTGGTTACTGAAAATTCTTTGCTCCTGCCCACCTTGGTCCTGCCCGGCGCTCACACCCACTACCAGAGTTGGCTCTGCTCGCTGTGCCTGGTGCCAGTCCCATGGTGGTTACTGAAAATTCTTTGCTCCTGCCCACCTTAGTCCTGCCCGGCACTCACACCCACTACCAGAGTTGGCTCAGCTCGCTGTGCCTGGTGCCAGTCCCAATCATTCAGCACCATCAGCAGGTGCGAGCAGTGGCTGCCAGCCCTGATTGCCCCTGAGAGCTTCTGCACCTCCCCCTGCTCCTGAGGGTTGATCAGAGCAGCAGCTGAAACTCACACCTGCTGATGGCACCAACCCTAATCCCACCACCTAATGGTGCCGGCCCCAATCACTCTGCGCCATCAGCAGGGGTGAGTGGGGCTGGTGCTATCAGTGGGTGGGAATGGCGGCAGCGGGAGCAGGGCTGCCGGCAGACCGGGGACCGGAAGCCACAGTGGGAGGGGCTGGGCAGCCCACAGTTCCTTTCAAGGTGCACAAATTCATGCACTGGGCCCCTAGTTAAGAATAAAAACCAACTGTGTTCCAGTCCAAGAAGAAAAATAAATTACAAGCACACCAGAATAGGAAAAATAAAATGTTAAAAATGAAGAAAAGGCGAGTTCAGGGGAGTGGGAGGGAAATAGCAGAATAATTCAATCCCAACTTCTTAAAGATCTTTGAGGTGTTATTTTTTCTTTTTCTTTGAGTTGCTTTTACTTCTCTACCTCGAAAACTGAAACCCTGTGGTTTATGCTTGACTTCCATAGGGCCTCTCCACTACTTCCTTCGTGGAAAGAAGGGCTGATTGGGCAACATGTTCATTTTTTATTGTTTCACTACTTGCAAAATGTTCTTGGGCAAACTCAGCCTGGTGGGTAGTGTACAGGTTGGCATGTTTCAAGCCATTCCTCTGAAGATTGGGGGGTGTTGCTGCCCTGAGTGCAGCAATCTTGTTCCAAACTTGAGGTTTCCAGTGGGCATGGTCAAGATATGATCATGTTGACTTGGTTATGCTAGGATTTGCTTCTATCATGCAAAGAAGGTGTTTTGTGTTTTTTAAGTCAGCTGTGGCCGGGTCAGTGAAAGTAGGACCAAGTTAGTAATAAAATGAGGAGACAGTAAAACCCTGGTGGTTGAGAAGGGAACTCAGTGTGTGGGGCTGTCGTCAGCGCCAAGGCATCCTGTGGTCCAGGGTCAAAGGTCTGAGGAGCAGGAGAAACCGCAGCCCTGGAGAGAGACAGGGACCAATGTCAAGGCCTCACGTGTGCCCTGCCTGCCCCCAGTCATTTTAATATGGAAAAGCCAATGGATTACTAGAGAGGTTAACATTTTTACATGTCAAAAAAGTGAGGTTAATTTTCATGAGAAACAGCAAAGACTAGTAGGAATAAGAGGCTGAGCTCTCTTGCTTGCTAACTCTGTGGCCTTGGGCAAGCCACTTAATCTCTTTGGGTTTTAATTTTACAAATGAAAGGTTTAGAAGATAGCCCTAGCCGGTTTGGCTCAGTGGATAGAGCATCGGCCTGTGGACGGAAGGGTCCTGGGTTCGATTCCAGTCAAGGGCACATGCCTGGGTTGTGGGTTCGATCCTCAGTAGGGGGCGTGCAGGAGGCAGCTGATCAATGATTCTCATCATTGATGTTTCTCTTTCTCTCTCTCTCCCTCTCCCTTCCTCTCTGAAATCCATAAAAATATATTTTAAAAAAAAGATTTAGAAGATAAAAATCCAAGGATCCTTCCAGATCTTAAGCTTTATAGCCAGGCATTTTCCCCTAACTTTTTATTTTGGAAAAATTAAGTCTATAGAAAAGATAAAAGAATTGAATTAATACCCAAATTAACCACTTGTTAACATTTTGCCACTACATTTGCTTTATCTTTCTGTCTCTATTGCTATCTATCTACCTACCTATCCATCTATAGAGGAAATGCAGAAGGAAAACTTATATTATTATTATTGCTGTTGTTGTTAAATTATTTAAGTTAGGAAAACTTATATTATTATTATTGCTGTTGTTAAATTATTTAAGTGGCAGACATTTGTTACATTCTATCACTAAATATTTCACTATGCATCTAAGAATAAGGACTTTTTTTTTACGTAACCACAATATCATAATCACATAAAAGAAAATGATAACTCCATATAATCTAATAGCCAGTTCATATTCACATTTCTACAATTAAACCACATTCTTGCACTCTTAATGTTTTTAGCCTTTAAAGTTTTAAAGTATTGAGTAGTGCTCATCTTTCTGTGTTTTCTTTTTTTTTTTTTAATTTACATTGGCTTTTTGAGGAGTCCACTTATTTTGTAGAACATTTCACACATTCTATCTAGATAAGGCTGTTTCCTCGTGGTGAAATTTATCATGTTCCTATGTTTCCTGGACATTGAAAGCTAGGTCTGGCAACTTGATCCGATTCAGGTTAAATATCTTTGGCAAGAATGCTTCATAGGCAATGCTGTGTCCTTCGTGTTGCGTTACACCTGGAGCCGCATGGTATCAGACTGTCCCAGTATTTGTGATGATGAGTTTGAGATGTGGAAGGTGGTGATGGCCAGATCTCTCCAGAGTGAAGGTACATGTTCTCCTCCTTTGTCCTTAGTAATCTGCGGAGTAACTTGACACTATATGAATAAACTCTTCCCCAAAACCTCTCCCCAATGATAGTAACCGTTGAAGATCCCTACCATGTTGGGGTTACAGGTATTATCTAATTCTATGCTTCCTTCTTTATTTACCAGCTAGCCTTCTTCTGTGAAAATGAGCTTTCTTTTTATTCTCTTTCTTCTCTATCTGAGACAGGCCAGTAAGCAAGGACAAGCAAACTAGGGAAGCTGAGATAGATAGTTAAACAGCAGTTTGCAGCCATCTAGAAAATCTAGATGCCAAGCAGCTTGCAGTCATCCAGTAAATCCATCTTCCCTAAACCAGGGACACTTGAGAGTAAATGGTTTGCACTTCTCCTCCCCAACCAGAGGGTAAATAGCTTAAATCACCCTACTCAGGAAGACAGCAGAAATCTAATTAGTGCCATTTGTGCCAACCACACCCAAGGACAGATGAAATTAAGGAAATAAATCTCATGTGGATACATCAGCATAAAGCTGATGAACATTCTATTGAGATCCTCCCCTAAGACCTCCCCTAACTCCAAGCCTTTAAAAACCTTAAAATGAAGGTTCCAGGGCAAGTGCTCCCTCACAGGAGCATACAGGTGCCTCCTCTCCCCCGCCCCCAACTTCTTCCCCCACAGGCATGCGTCTCCTAAACTCTAAGGGACCTCAGGAGACTTGTAACCAGGGCAGCAATGGGCAGTGACAGTTCATCCCAAGCTAATCCCCTGAACCTGTTCCCAAGGCCCCCTTTTCACCGACTTTCTTTTTTTAATATATGTTTTTATTGATTTTAGAGAGAGAGGAGGGGAGAGGGAGAGAGAGAGAAACATTGATGCATCAGCATTGATCAGCTGCCTCCTGCACGCCCCCTGCTGGGTATCCTGTCAGAAACCCAGGCATGCGCCCTGACCTGGAATCAAACCCAGACCTCTTGATATCTTGATACATGGGTCGATGCTCAACCACTGAGCCACATCAGCCAAGCTTCACTGACTTCTTAGTGAGCCAGAGCAGACCAGCCTAAGCTCATTTCCCTGGCCCTTCCTTGTTTCACTGTCGGCAGCTTTAATAAACGTCCTCTAAACTTCACCTGGACTCGTGTTGTGAAATTTTCCTACATGAAGTCAAGAATCCACACACTACAGGCCAGCCTCAGACAGAACCGCGCAGGGCCAGGTCCCCTTTCCAGTAACATAAGTACTTTCTTTATCCTTTTTGATCTCCAATGGTCCCAAATCTGGCTAGAGAGAGTCCCTTTAAGGTGGGTCCTGGGTCCTTTTTGTAAGAAAGCATTGGTTTTTAGAGTTTTTCCTTGCTGTCTAGCAAGGAAATAATACATTTTTTATTTGCTTTATATTTTTCTTCTCTAGGCCTGAATTCAGCCATTCCCCCAAGGAGTCTTGTTTCCTTTTATCTTTTTTAATATATTTTTTATTATTGATCTAAGAGAGGAAGGGAGAGGGAGAAACATCAATGATGAGAGAATCACTGATTAGCTGCCTCCTGCATGCCCCCTACTGGGGATCGAGCCCGCACCATGTGCCCTGACTGGGAATTGAACTGTGACCTCCTGGTTCACAGGTCAACACTCAACCACTGAGCCACGCCAGTCAGGCTTTTGTTTTTTGTTTGCTTGTTTTTTTTGTTTTTAATGGAAAATAATATTCACATCAAGATCTGAGCAATAAGTGTGCGCACTCCCCTAAGTGTCATTATGTTTAAGTCCTTTCAAGTGGGCAAAGCTAGGAAATATATATACTTAAGACTCCATATATTTGAATTTAATAGACAATGTTTATTTAAACTTCTTTTATTTTCTATTTTTATTTCTTTTCCCTTACAGTGAAGTCTTAATTTCTAATAATATTATTATATCCACTTATTTGCTTTGTCTGACAATATATATATACCATTTCAAAATTATAATGCTATCATTGCTAATAACCAATAAACATAATAAAGCTTTATATGTCATTGAAATTATTTTTGGTCTTAGAATATATCCCACTAAGCCTTAGTGACTAAGGGATGGTCAGTCAGAGTCCTGATATCAAAATTTACTTGAATCAATTCTTTTCTCTATGTGGTTACTTTATTAATACAATATAGCTAGATTCATTTGCTTTATTACTATATTTTAATTTTGGAGCTTGCTTCTTTCCATCCGTTGAATTTAATTTAATTTTCCAGGCATATAAGACATTCACGTGTTCTCATATCCATTCCTAACACCCCAACCCCTTCCCCTTCCTTATAGATTTTATTAATTTCTGGCTTATCCTTACTGTGTTTCTTTTTGCTACACACACACACACACATTTTCTGGGCAAACTATAGCCTGCTATACACATTTTTGTACCTTGCTTCTTTCAGTTAACAATATATCCTAAAAATTACTCTAAATCCATTCATAAAGATCTTCCTCGTTCTTTTTCATGTTTCACCGGGTATTTTCAAAGGCATATTTATGACATGTCACTTTGAAAAACAAGAACCAGTAAGTACCTAACACTATAACAGAAGTTTGGGTCTTTTTTTTCCAGGGGGAACAGAGGGTTGGTTGGGGGCCTTTATTGGGGGCCATGGGTTGGTTGCCTTCACTCAATGGCCACACACTGGGTCTTGAAGCCTCCCTCCGCTGCCAGGTACTTGACAGCCTCCAGGTTGGGGAACTTGAAAGTGTATCCATCTGGCAGCATGATGGCCAGGTCTGCCTGTCAGAGGCGACGCACAGCTCCCTCCATGACACTCCCAGGCTGGAAGGGAAAGGCAGACTCCCACTGCTCGGTCCCCGGGTCCTACCGTCCTGGCTGCTACACACAATGGTGTTGGCGTCCCCATGTGCACTGGAGGGAAGGCTGAAGTACAGGCACATGTTGTTGCCCAGGTTCAGCACGAAGCTCTTGGCATCGGGGCCATCATGCCCACACTCTGAGATTCAGGTTGGTGGTGACCAGATCACAGGCCCTGACTGAGGACAGGAGGCACTGCGTCTCCAGCGGCTTGAGACTCCACCTGACAGTGTAACGGAAGATTTTAAAGTTAGGAACAGACTCAGAGACCAAAAGACTCCCCACCATGTAGAGGATGCTGGGCTGGGCTGCCCAGATTCCCAGTTAGGACTAAAGAACAAATCCCAGCTGTTAGGAACGCCCCCGCTGAGCCTGCTGCTGGCTCTCCCCACGGGATTGCCCTGGGCTGGAAAGCGCTAACTCGGTAAAGATTTCACTCCCCTCTGAGGCGAGCCTCCATCCAAACACAGGCTGATGTGGAGGTACAAAGTCCAGGCCCGCCCCTTGTCCCAGCTTAGGACAACTCTGAAGGGTCACAGTGCTCCAGCCCTCATGGGGGAGGTTGAGCCTTTGTTGTGACCGCATCCAGGCCCAACCTCTCCCTCTGCCCAGCCCCGCTTCCACCCTCCCCTGGTGCTGATCCTAAGGGCATGTCCTGGTAAACCTGGATCATCAGTTATCAAATCTTCTGACAATAAACCTACTACGTTACACTATGTCATATCAGCTTTTAGTTCCTTATCAATTTACTTAACTATCAAGAACTCTACATTTTAACACAATAGTCAAAATTTCTGGGGAAAGTCAAAAAACAAGTACCATGTGATTTCATTCATATGTGGGATCTAATAAACAAAATAAACTAACAAACAAAATAGAAACAGACTCATAGATACAGAGACCAGACTGATAGCTTTCAGAAGGGAGAGGGTTGGGGGGCTGAGTGAAAAATGTGAAAGGATTAAGAAAAAAAAATCGCAAAGACACAGACAACAATGTGGTGATTATCAGAGGGAAAGAGGAGTGGGGTGAAGTAGAAGAGGGTAAAGGGGGGAAAATGGTTTGGAAGGAGACTTGGGGTGGTGAACACACAATAAACAGAGGATATATTATAGAATTGTACAATTGAAACTTACATAATTTTATTAACCAATACCACCACAATAAATTCAATTAAAAAGTCTCTGTCTTTAGAGTTACTTGCCATCAAAGATAAACACTTTATTTTTCTTTAAGTTCAAACATAATGCAACTGATATCAGCTAAGATCTCTCAACCTTTTGTGATCTGGGTAAGATTGGCTTGAAGCCCCATTTCACACTCTGTGGAAATCCAAAGATTTCTGAAAATTCTCAAAGAGCTTATATTCTTAGAATAATTCTGGCTCTGGCTCCTGCTTCTAAATGTGCTGTCTGGCATATAGTAAGTGCTCCATAAACTTGATTGTTTGTTAGCCGAGCCGTTCTCCTTTCTTCTGGGAATAGTGTCCTCTTCTTTGGGGGAACAACGTCTTTCCTCCATCCCTGTCCACACTATAATCTGATCCAAGTCAGGCTGGCTATCTTTTTGACCCAGTGATGAACACATGACCTGATCCAAGCCCATTAGAGTCTCTTCCAGAGGAAGAAAAATTAGAACTAAGGAAAAAAGGTCTTCACCTCTCTGGTAGCAAAGCTTGGAGGATAAGAGCCTGGAAATGCTGGTAGGCTCATTCCCTGCTGACTGGGTTTATCTGTACTAGGAAGAAATAAAGCCAACACATACTGATTAAGAGAGAGATCTTATGCTGTTGTGTCCCTACATATCACAGTCTCTGAGGCCAGCTCTACCTTTCCCTTTTACTTATTTATTTATTTATTTATTTATTTATTTATTTTACCTTCTCCTTTTCCAGAGTGTGAACTGAAAAATGACATAAGGGAGATGATGATAAGTGGCAACAATTAGAGTGCAAAAAAAAAAATGTAGAATTAGGAAATAACCCATTAAAGAATAAGTTGGAAATGACACAATAGGCAAAGAGGGTTTGTCAGATTAAGAATTTTGACCATGTTTCACAGCTCATTAGCAATGCAGCCTGGCCCTGGCTGGTGTGACTCAGTTGGTTGGGTGTCATCCGAAAGGTTGCTGGTTCAATTCCTGAGCAGGGCACATGCCTGGGTTGTGGGCTCGATCTCTGGTAGTGGATGTGCAGGAGACAGCCAATCGATGTTTTGCTCTCACATAGATGTTTCTCTCTCTCCCTCTCCCTCTCTAAGAATCAAAGAAAGATCTTTGAAAAAAAAAAGAAAAAAGAATCCACCAATGAATATTTGGATGAGTGGAGCAATGGATTGATGTTTCTCTCTCTCTCTCTCTCAAAAAAAAAAATAGCCTGTGGTTGAAGAGCACTTCTTACACCACCCCTTTACCTACCAGCAATACCCATGATTCCAAAAAACCCAGTCTCTCCTCCAGAAGAGTTACCCACAGAGGGGAATTTGCCGGTTTCGCCCATCTAACCTCTCAACTCTATGCAAACTTCTGTAAATACAGGAGGAGCCTGCTGACTTCCTTTGCTAACTATTTACCAAGAAGGCTTCAAATAGGTGAGTTTCTATGATCTACACCCTATGAAAGAGCGACCTTTGAGTTAGCAGAATGGCCTTTAATGGGTTGTCCACTTGTCCACATAGTCACTTTCATCAAATAATCGAAAACCTCCAATTGCCCAACCCAAGGCTTTGTTAACACTGTTAATACTGCTTTCTCTTTCTCTTACTAGAAGGAGAAGAAAAGGTTTAGCTTTGCCTTCAATAGCAGAGGAAGAAGACCTTTGTTTCAGTGGAATTTGCAAATCCTTCCTCTTTTGGGATTCTAGATAGAATAGTTTGCTGAAATGATGGACATGACATATGATTTATGAGAGCCAACCTTCTAAATTCAATTCCTCCCCAACTCCATTTAGTCTCCAGTGGTGCTGTTCAAAAAAGTTCCACCTAAATCCTCCGCATACTGAGGCCTATGAGTTCTTACAGATGAAGGGTGTTTGGGCCACCACTCCCAGGTCTTCCTGAACTAGGGGCATAACTCCAACTGGGTGGACCACTGCTGGGGTCCTGATCGTGGGCATTTTCCCAGGGATGAGATTTCAAAATCATCCAGGATTTGAGATGAAATGTTGACACGGCAGGGAGACCATGAAGAAACAGAAGCCATCACTTTAAACACCAAACACTGATTATAATATTAATTTTCAAAACTTAAATTCCATGAGCTCGAATTTCTGCATCCATAAAATGAAAGATTACAATACCTACTTCGCACTGGTATTTTGCTCAGGGAATGCTAATTGAGTAAGTGAAACACCGAACTAATTAATTTGCTGAATAGATGAGTCAGAGTTCTTGGTTGCAAGCAATAGAAACTCCACGTGATTAACTTAAGAAGAAAGGGAATCTACAGGCAAGATACCAGGGAGATCCCAGAATTGGCCAGAAAGCAAAAGAGCCAGCCCAGGAATATGGGCTAAATCCAAGGCAGCAGGAAGACAGCCAAGGTCTTGTCACAGTACCTTTGGATGTAACTGCCCGCACTCCGGT